ATATAAATGGTTAATAAATGGCATCAGAGGGAGGAGGAAAGGGAGATGGCCAAAACAAGGCCAGGAGGAGTCCCCTCCAGCCAGAATAACCTCCTGGGTCTGCTGAGGGATGCCTTGTCTTAAAAGAAGTTCCCTTCTGCAGAGAGAATTCACCATAAGGCTACCAGATTTTTTCAGCTCATCTTAAGCCCGTTTTGCATATTGTTTGAATACATTTACGTGTCGACTATCAAGAGGCCCTAACTCCAACTATGTTAAGATAAAATAAAATAAGTTAGATCTTGTCACGTACATTCATACACAGCAGTGCTGAACACAGCTCAGCTAGGGAACAGATTTTGAAACATCTGGACATGGGGGAAGGGAAGGACACACCAGCAGCACATGGAGGAGCTGGGCTTGGGGAAGCCATGACAGACTTCTGCCACCTGCCCAGGGACAGCCCCCTCCTGGGCCTCAGAGTCTGCAACAGAACCTGAAGCCTGACCCTCTCCACACCTTTCTTATTATTGTTCCAGATTTGCCACCTTTAGTCTCTTTTTCCCTCCAGCCTCATCATGTACAGTCTTTAGCCTTCTTGACCTGGCTTGCAGGCCATCCTTTGGTTTTCCTCCCTGGACCTTCTGATTCTTTTGTGCTACCTCCCCATAGTGCTCAGCACAGTGTGGATCAGGGCCACTGCATACAGTTGTGTGTGGAGGGGGTACTCTGATTGGGACACCTACCAAGGGACGTGAGTAGGGGCTGAATTTCAGCTCATCTCCACTCACCAAAGCAAGCAGCATGCTACCTGCAGGAGGGCACGAGGAAGCACCTTTTTCTAATTTGTACAAAGGTATTTGCCACATGTGCCGGTACAGGTCACTCACTGGATGCTTACTGAGCAAGTGCTCAGAGTGAATGGATGAATGAATGAATGAATGAATGAATGAACACATGTAATAAGAAAGTGGAGGCAGTGAGGATAAATAAGAGGCTTCTGTGGTTGTCTAGCTAAAGGGTAGTGAGGCCCTAAACTGGGATGTAAGCTGTGGGGAAGGAGATAATAAATATAGAAGAAGCAACAGGCCATGGGTTAGTTTAAGGTTCCATGATGGCAAAGGAGACAGGGAGTGTAAATGACCTCCTACCTGTAATCACCACTAAAACCTGACTCCTGCACAAGAAGAGTAAGGACAGCATGGTTCTGGATCAGTACTACGCATCCTCTTCTGGAGAGCTGGCTTTGGTTGGGTGACAAGGTGACAGGAATTGTATGCCTCTTGTGGGCAGGACCCTGCGCTGAGCAGTGTCAGGGAGATGTAAGACCACCCCTCCCTCAGAGAGCTTATGATATCTTTGAGGGTGCTGGATACAAGAAACCTGGTGCAGGGCTGTGCTGACTAGCATCGCACATGGACGACAGGTGTCAGCTGATCATAGCAACTACATGTGCATGCTGCGTTACTGCTGTGCTGCTTCTCACTGAAGAGGACATTGACACTTGGGGTGGTAGTGTGGCTGGCTCGCCATCCCATCTTCTTACTGCTGTCACAATATTGGGTTAAACTATATCAAGTTACCATTTTTGCAGGTCAAACATGGTCAGACATGAGCAATTCGATATATTTCACCCACTTTCCACTATATTAGCTGCCATTTGAGACCTTTTTGCTGTGTCCTCATGTGATGTGAGGGGCAAGGGAGCAATCAGGGGTCTCTTTTATAACGGCACTAATCCTATTCATGAGGACTTCACCCTCAGGACTTCTAATACCATCCCATTGGAGATTAGGTTTCAACATATGAATTTTGGGGGGACACAAACCTTCAGTCTGTAGCAATTCCCAAAAGGAATTAGGTCAAATTACTTGAAATGATTGTGTCAAGGAGTAGGAACTTTTTAAAATCTCTCTTTTTTTAACGTCTCTTAAGTGGTGTCATCAGCTGGCTCGCCAGAAAGCTTGTGCCACTTTGATTAACGTGAGCCTAGATAGCGGAATCAATCGTTGGTTGATTCTGGTTTACTTATGAGTGACAAATTAATTTAAAGATAAGAGAGTTTAAAGATGATGGTCAGGAAAGGCTCAGGGATCAGGTGGATCTTGAACTGAGTTTGAAGGATCCATAAGGTTCAAATAAACTGAGAGGAAAAACTTTCCCAGCAGAAGCAAAGGTATAATGGAAACAATGAACATGGCATATTGTGGAGACATCATAATCTTATTTTCCTTAGGTGATAGCTACTTCATGGGAATAGTGGGATATAAATTGAGGAAAGGGATATCAACTGAGATTGAACTGAATCGGGTAGGTAATGGGGAGTTGTTGACAGCTTTTGAGCAGGGGAAGAGATGAGCAAAACATTATTTTCATGATTGTAGAAGACTTTGGGAAACCAGAAACATTTTTAATAGTGGCAGATGATCTTTTTTTAGATGGTCGTCTGTATTAAATATTATGCATGATATAAATGTCCTAGGAATGCTTTGCTCTAGTGCTTAGCATGTGACAGTGGTATGACTTGTCATGCCACAGATGACCATCAGCCATGTCTGGGTGGCCCAGGCTTCAAGATTCATTGTGCTTGGAGATAATAGTGTATAGATCCAATACGGTGGTGAGAAGCTATTTCACATGGAGGAAATCTCAGTGTTCATGAAGCAAAGGTCAGTTACCACCAGGGCAGAGATATCCGCACATTCAAGCTGTCAGAGACGCAGAAAGGAAAGGTGAGAGGAGAGCTGTAGGCAGGGCCCTCTTTCCACCACAGCCATCTGATCCTGTCTTTGCTTGTTACACATGTGGTTACAACAAATCCTGATGAGAAGTCATTTTGCATTTCCTGGTAAATAAAAATTTCATCTCTTTTAATTGCATATTTGCTATTTTTAAGGAAATATATATTGAAAATTCTGGTTTCCAGTGTGAATGGTAAGTGAAAGTGATTGTTGCTATTATATCATTATATAGGGTGTCCCCCAAAAATGTGTACACACTTTAACAGCTGATAGCTCAATTTTGAAAACGAAATGTTTTTTAATAAATACTGCCTTTATAATTATCCAAAGTGTGTGTATACATTTTTGGGGGACACCTTATGTTTCTTTCTTTTGTAAGATAAACCAGATATTTTCAATCAATGAAAAATGATGACAGATATTTCAGACACTCTTCAATTAGCAGACCATAATACATTTTATATTAGATAAAATGTCTTCTAAGACGTGTACACTTTTAAAATCCATGTATATCTCACCATACCTCACATAGCACAGTGCTTAATTGTGAAGAAGTAAGACTCAGACTCAAATCTTAGACTTTATGAAGATTGGCTGCAAGGAGGAATGAGGCACCCACACAGAATCTGTAGGCCCCAGAGAGACAGTGATTTTTCTGGAGATACATTGTCAGAAGGCACACTAATCATGGCAGAATGTTACAACCATTCAAAATATTCGATGGCATTAACTTAGGAAAAAAACAAAAAGAGCTCTCCTGAAGAGTCTGGCTGACCCGGTTTTGAAAAGGATGCTACTGTTAATCCCGGGAGAGTAAACAGGGCATTACCCATTCACTGGGGCTTTAACCTTCCTTACCTGGAGCCTTCATGACATTCAGCTCTGTCTATTGTGGACAAGGCTGGCTTTGTGGGTGTGAGACTGGGTTTAAAAGAGTCTGGTACTTAGTTTGATGTTCTTCTGTCACCATCTTGAAATTCCTAATAGATTTTTTTTTTTTAATATATCTTTATTGATTTTAGAGAGAGGAAGGGGGGGAGAGAGAGAGGGAGAGAGAGAGAAACATCAATAATGAGAGAGTCATTGATTGGCTGCCTCCTGCACGCCCCCGACTGGGGATCAAGCCCTCAACCCGGGCATGTGCCCTGACCAGGAATCGAACTGCTATCTCCTGGATCCTAGGTTGATGCTCAGTCGCTGAGCCACGCCCTGCCGGCTCCTAATAAGAGTTTTGAACAAGGGCTCTACATTTTGGTTTTACACTGGGAGCTGCAAATTATGTAACTGTTCCTGTCCTGGTTATAAAAGCTGATTTCACATTCCTTTATCATATATTATGGGCTAAAATTTGGTTTTCCCAGGATCAAGCTATGGACCAGGTGAGGGTGAAACTGTAGGGACTACGGTGAGCCAAGGGAGCTTCTGGCCAACTGCTCTTATTTCCTCAGGAGGCCAGACTGAGTACAATGGGAAAGGAAGGAAAGCACAGAGTTTAGGAGCAGGCGGGGGGCTACTGGCAGTAGAGTTTCTCCATTAGTAACAACAACAGCTGCTACTGTTCTGCTACGCCCACCGCCACATCAAGGAGCTAATGTCTGCCAGGCCCTCACCAAGTGGTTTGCGTGCATTATTTCCTCTTTCTTAATCCTCTCGACATCCTGCAACATGAGTATTATTTTTATAAATGAAAAATCTGAAGTTTCCAGTAATTAAGTTGCCCACAATTACACAGCTATTAATGGTCTTTTCTCATTAACTGTCCTTTTTACTCAAGAAGTGGCCAACTATCCTTGTCTGTTATTAAAATTGAACTTGAATCATTTATTTTTCCACTGGAAAAGATTCATGCTTGCATCATTTATATTCTGTTTTTTTACTTTCATATAATTGTAGGTAGTGGTGTTATTTAGGAACTTTTGGATATAAATGTTATTTAGGAACTTTTGGATATAAACTTTACTTTTCCTCCATGGATGATATCTGGACAGTATACTAATACTGGATGGGTTTTTCCAAGAAGAAATAGGTACACAGCCCTTCTCTCAGAAGATTGTGTCACTAAGCAGTGTTATATATTTTTAAAATCTCAGCCAAAATGAAATTTCTTTTCTTGGTTATTTCTGTTATTATTGTTTTCCCAGTTGTTATGTGTGATTGTGTTCTGCCATAATTAAAAGAAAGTATCCATGTTTTCTATTTTAATTTTACATTAAAATGAGGTTTTTCAAAAACTTGTAAACAAATTCTATTTCGGACTAATCCCAATTATGTCTCCTGCAGGAAACCATCTCTGGCAGCCAATGTGCCCAGGCTTGGATATAGTTCCTCATCCGATCACAAGTACATTCCCCGGAGGGCGGTGCTCTATGTACCTGGAAATGATGAAAAGAAGATAAAGAAGATTCCATCCCTGAATGTAGACTGTGCGGTGCTTGACTGTGAGGATGGTGTGGCTATGAACAAAAAGGTAATGATGTAATTTTTCCTTAGGATGGGAAAAAGAAATGGGTTGAAATTTGGTGCTCTCCTGGTAGCATTTGCTCACTCTTTGGAAAGAATCTACTATTCTCCCCTTTTGCTGATTACTTATCTATTCTTGACTCAGCCCTTGTATGGGTTCTGAATGTGTGTGTCTCTTTTCTCCAAGAGAAAGGAAGAATCCAACAAAATGTATTTAAAATCATGACTGTGCATGTATAGATAAAGAGATAGTCACAATTCATTTTACCCATGATATTTGTTAGTTTGGATAAGTGATTTATTCCTAGAAATGTGTAAATTTTTCAGGCCAGTAAGAAGCAATTAGGAATTTATTCCTTTTACCCTGAGGTACATTAAGTAGTGGCCTTATCTCTTCTGGGACAAGTGCCAAGAAAATAAAAAACTAATCTTCTACAGATAAATCACCATTTTCCCTACTTAATTAAAGGGAAACTGCCCATGGAACCTTAGGGTTGCCCCTTTTGGCTGACTTCCTCATGGCCTGACCAGAGAAATGAGCCTTAGAAAATGTCCAATCCTAAACAGGTACAAAAGGTTCTTGCTGGGTGGTAGCATAATGGGGGCTTTTCATTTTGGTTTGCTTAACTTTGTTTGCCAGGTTTTTGTAACGAACATGGATTTTTTTTTAATATTTAGGTGAAATATGTAAATCGCTATAACAATAATTAGCATTTGCATGGAACTTTTTTAGTTAAAAACATGCTTTTGCTTGACCTTTATCCAGTCCCTATACAGTGAGGTGGGTCTGGGAATGGATTGTGGGGCTGAGGGACAGAGGAGCTGACCATCTCAGCTTGTGTCTAAGTGAATAGTTTCTGGTCCTTGGTGAAAAGGGTGGCTGTACTATACAACTTTCTTGATTAATTGCTTTTCTTGGAGATTCTAGCAAACAAATATTAGCTTTAAATTTTTTTTAAGTTGTTTTCTAGCATCTTACTAATGATCAAACCAAGGCTTTCCAAGTATTTGGAAAAAAATTAGAATAAGCATGTGGAATCTAAAGTGTCTACTCAAGGTCTTTGGCATGCACCAAGGAAAACACAATTAATCTTCTTTCTCCCAGAGATTAAGGTAAATCAGCCCTTTCTTGAAGGATATAATGTGATTCCAGTATTCTCCCTTCCAAAACTCACGTAGTGCTCTCTTAAGATTAGATACTAAACTGTAATTCCAGTTCTGTGTGACCCAGGGCAATTCACTTTACTTCTTTCCCTCAATTTCTTATCTATACTGTGGGATAACAAAATCTTCTTTTGTCAGGGACAGGGATTATTAGGAGGAAAAAAATTGATAAAATGCCTGTGAGTGGCTTGATTTCCAATAGGAAATAGATTAGATAAATCCTGCAGTAATCATGATTAAAGGGGAGTGTATTTTAGCTTGTAGCACAGTGAGGCACTAGGTGACCAGATAAACTTCTAATTACATTTCTTCACACATCTTGAGGCTATCTTCCCATACCTACCTGAGGCTGTTTCCTGCCATCCAGATGAGTTGGAAATATGGTCTATTATTGCCTCCCATTTCCCTCCTGTTCATCTGTGTTCCTAAGCCATTCTTATACCCAGTGCTCATTCTTATATCCAGAACCTAAGGAAGGAAAGGAGAGAGAAGAGTTTATGATGGGCAAGCTGTGCCCGCCATCTTGGCATCTGTGTCTTCATCAGGGCACTCCAGTTCTCCTAATGCACTTAAACTTCACATTAATTGCTACACACACTGTTTTATGCATGCTGAGATTTTAAATTTCCCTTTCTTATCCACAGAAAGTTCTGGAAAGCCAGGCTAGTACTTGTTAAAAAATTTTTTTTTCTTAAAATTTCTATCCAGTATTTCATTTTATCTCATGTTTTTTATTTCATAGCCCTAGCCAGGCATGGTCTTTTTGGATTTTTTATTTCATCATCCAACATTTATATTATCTGAGCAATTGACCAGTACACTGTATGAAACTTTAGCAAGTTTCTGATGGAAATGTTGAAGAGGTTGGAGCCAAACACGCGACTAGAAACTTCTGATCCAATTTATTTAACAAGCATTTATATAGTGCTGACTAAATGCCAGGCACTGTTCTAAGGGTTTTCTGCATGACAACCCAGTGAGGTGATATACTCCTTCTACGCTTAAGGAAGATGAGGCATGGAGAGGCCAAGTTCATGAATCAATACTGTGAATATAGTTATCAACCACACAACTCTCCTAAACTCAATCTTTTCACATGGATATTATAAGAGATTTTTCTCTAGTGCCATTTCAAAATGAAGATACTTTCCCTACCTACCTGTCTAGGAATACTTTCTTCCCCTACAGATCCATCTCGCCAGAAAAGTGAGGTTAGTTAGGTGAGACTTGATTGAAAAATCCATGTCAGTATCTAGCTGTTTTCACCTTCTTTTTGAAGTGATACCATTTACTGAGAGTTTTTTTTCTATGTAAGTGGTGCTTTTATTAAATGCTTCGTTTTCTTATTTTATTGAATCTTTACAGTAAAGTTTTGAAATATGTCCAAGGTCACAGTACCATTAAATGGCAGAACTAAGATGTCTATCTCCTAGAATTTTTGCCAGTGATCAGCCTCAATTTTACCTGTTGACATATTCCATGATTAACTTTTCCCCCCTTTCTTGGAAAGCTAGTGCCTTGACTTCTCTTTCTCGTTTGTCACCTTTGTGTACAACTTGGTTTTTCAGAGATTATGGCAGCAATCCTGTGTTCATATTTGCAGATTCTTTCAGCGTCCTGGGGTTGTAATCCATTTAGACCTAGGGACTTTCATTCATTTGCAATGTCCAGATAAATCTGACACTTCTCACATATCTCATATACTTTTTTCTGTCTTGAAGTTCACCTCTTAATCATATTTTTTATTTGAATATTATTTTTGATGGAGGAGATAGAATGGAGACCATTTTCAGTGTGTTTATTTCATATGAAACACATATTAAACCTTTCATTTCAGAGAATCTAGTTTTATATATAGTTTTGCTAAACTGAACTGTTATTGCCTAATTCAACTTTCTTGGGATTATTAAAATTTAGTCACTTCATTTTATATCTCATTTTATTTTATTTTTCAAAATTTATTTCTTGATTTTAGAGAAAGAGAGGAATGGAGAGAAAGAAACATCAATTTGTTGTTCCACTTATTTATGCATTCATTGGTTGCTTGTTGTATGTGCTCTGACCAGGGATCAAACCTGCAAACTTGGTTTATTAGGAGTTGAACCCACAACCTTGGCATATTGGGATGATGCTCTAACAGAGTTACTGGGCCAGGGCTATATCTCATTTTATTAATAGACTAACCCAGAATTTCATTTGATTGACTCTGTGGAGCATTGGCTCCTAATGAAAACAATAGGAGTTCCCAGAGCAGTTTATAATTATGTAATACCTTTCAGCGGGCTCTAATCCTGTTTTGCTAATCCAGTTTGTGTTTAAGTAGTTCCTTCATGTCAAGGAAGGCACTACTAGCTCACCTTCCCAGGCATGGGTGATGAAAAGACTGTCTCCACTTCCCTCTTACCTTCTCCTCATGGTTAAATGCATGAGGAGATAGATGCAGGACTAAGCCCCTGCTTGCTGGGACACAGTGAAAATAAGCCAAGTAGTCCCAGATTTCTGGTGAATCTCCATGATACTTGGGGGAGCCAACAAGGTAGAAGCGGAGTAACTAGGAGTCCAGGGTTGCTATTTTTATTTATTTACTTACTTAAGTATTTAGTTATTTAAGTTTAAATATGTAAATGTAAACACTCAACATTTAAATGAGTATTGAGTAACTACTGAACTGGGTATCATGGCAAGCAGGAGGGGAACAAATATGGCTGCATGGCCCCTAACCTCTCATAAATCAGAATTAAATTCACTTTTTTTGTTGTTGTTTTACATTGGCCTCTGGAAAATTACCTTACATTCTTATGATCCCAGCAATGCATTAAAAAGTACTTTTGCTGAAATGTATCCATTTTATACTAAGATGGCCCTTTAGAGAATATGATCTGCCATATTGCCAAAAGTAAAGTACCCATTCTTTTAAAAAAAATTTATTGTAAACTTGAACAGAATTAGTATAAAGTTTATTCTTACATATAAAAAGCCAAATAATTATGAAATAAAGCAGCCCCCTAACTATTATTTGATTTCCCCTCTCCAGAGACCATTCCTTTTACCTCTTCTAGCTTATTCTTGGGGAATTCACTCACATATCTCTAAATAATATACTTCTTGAATTTTCCCCCAATTTTAGGCATGATATTGACTCCTTCCTATAGGATTTATTTCTGTCTCCACTATCACCCTATCCCTACTGTGTGTGAGCCATCCCTCAGTTGTCTCAGTAAGACTACATGTAACTTTGATGAGACTAGTATTCAGTATAAAAACAATTTAGAGTTGAACTATGTTATAATAAACTGATTGCCTTTCCTTTTCTGCCAACCTATTGTTTTCTCTGGAGTTCACAAGTTCAGTTTCCCCCTCCTCCTCTCCCTCTCCT